TCTCAGATTAATGGAGAAGAGAGAAACTTCTAAAAGAAATTGTGTATTTAACCATATGCTGGAGGGCACATGGAGCAACAGGAACTTTCATACAATGCTGGGGAGAATATAAAATGATACAGTCACTTTGGGAAACAGTCTGGCAGTTTCTTACAAAACTAAACATACTTTTGCCATGAAATCCATCAATCACGTTCCTTGGTATTTAGCCAAAGGAATTAGAAACTTATGTCCACACAGCTGTTGATAGCAGCTTTATTCATAATTGCCAAAACTTGGAAGCAACCAAGATGTCTCCTTCAGTAGGTCAACAGATTAAAAAAAACAACTCATGGTACATCTAGACAATGGAATATTATTCAGTAATAAAAATAAAAATGAGCTACAAAGCCATGAAAAGACATGGGGGAATCTTATATGAATATTACTAAGTGAAAGAAACCAATCTGAAAAGGTTACATACTGTATAATTCCAATATGAAATATTCTGCAAAAGGTAAAACTATGGAGACAGTAAAAAGATCAGTGGTTGTCAGAATAGAGGAGATGGAGGGGGGAATAGAAAGAACACAAAAATTTCTAGGTTAGTGAAACTATTCTATATACTATAATGGCAGATACATGACATTTACACATTTGTCAAGACTCATAGAATATACATCAAGCATGAGCCCTAATGTATAAGGACTTTGGGTGATAATGTTATATCAATGTAGCTTTGTGTATTGTAACAAACGTACCGCTCTGGTATGAGCAGGGGATTTGGAGGAGGCTGGGGTACTGGGTATTTGGAAACTCCATATTTTCTGTTTACTGTAACCCTAAAAATTTTTTTAAATCTATTTAAAAGGAAAAAGAAAAATGGTGTTTGGAACACTTTGATGGCCATATGGAAAAAGGATAAAATTGGATCTGCTCCTCATAATAGAGTCTAGGATAAATTTCAAATGATTTAGAAATTTAATTGTAAAGATGAAGCCATAGCAGATAAGAAAAAATTATGAACTTTTAACCTGAGAATGGGGAATACTTTCCTAACTGTCACAAAATCTTGCAGCTATAACAACTGATAAAATTGACAACATAAAAAATTTTGCATGATGAAAAGCACCACAATCTCAAAAGACAAATGACAAACTGAGAATAACATCTGCAAAAATTCAGACAAAAGACAAATGAGCCTAATGTTTAAAGGACTACTTGTTTGAATTATAGAGAAACCAAATAGTTCATGAGGGCTAACTTTTATTTACTTATTATTGAAGAATTATTGATGAATTCTAGCTAATATGGAGAATGAATGATAGAATTAGAAAATTATTTTCAACCCCTAATTAAATGATCAATTTAGCCCACAGTTGTGAATGAATGCTACAACCATAGATAATATATTGATGGTAATAATGGAAGGATCAGGCTGATCCTACTAGAATCCACAATGCAGCTGAGTATTACTAAGAGAAGAACAGTCAGACATTTTGCACAGTGGTGTACATCATGGAGTGTATTAGAGGAACGGTCTGTTTTGGGGGAGAGGAATTCCACCCCTGACATTGTTTAGAATTGCTGGCTTATGGGAATAACAAAAAGAAGACTAGCTTTTAGTCATTTTATTATTCTTTTAAATTTTTTCCACAGATAATACAGCCCAATTGCTTGTACATGTAAAGTACCACTCCTGCTGCCCCTCCCTCTGATATGCCACTGATTATGTTTCTCTGGTGTGATGAAACATGCAGTATGTATCGAGTATTCCTGTCTAAAAAATATTTGCATATCAGATCTTATAAGGGACTTGTATCTATATTTTTAAAAACCTCTTACAACTCAATAATAGAAAGACAACCCTAATAAAAAATGGTCAAATTGTCTGAATAGACATTTCTGCAAAGAAGATATACAAATGGCCAATAATCACATGAAATAATGCTCATCATCATTAGCTAACAGAGAAGTGAAAATCAAAACCATAGCTAGATCCCACTTCAGACCAACTAGCATGGCTATATTGAAAATGAGAGGCAATAATAAGTGTTGACAAGTATGTAGAGAAATTGGAATCTTCATTCATTGCTGGTACAAACATAAAATGGTGCAGCCACTTTGAAAAATATTTTGGCAGTGGCTCAAAATGTTAAACATAAAGTTCCCAAATAGCCTAGCAATTCTACTTCTACATATCTACGCAAGAGAAATCAAACATATGTCTAATTAAAACCATGTATGTGAATATTCATAGCAACATTATTCATAAGAGACAAAAGGTAGAAACACCTAAGTATCCCTCAATTGATGAATGGTTAAATAAAATGTGGTAAATGCACACAATGAAATATTATTCAACATTAAAAAGGAATAAAGTACTGATACATGTTATGACATAGATGAACCTTAAAACATTATGCTATATGAAAGAAGCCACTCATAGAGTCTGATTCTGTTTATATGAAATGTCCACAATCTAAAAATCCACAGAGATGGAAAATAGATCAGTGCTAATGGGCATGGGGTTCTTTATGGGATGGTGAAAGTATTCTGAAGTTAGATAGTGGTGGTGATTGCACAACTCTGTAAATATGCTAAAAATCATTGAGCTGCATACTTTAAATAGGTGAATTGTATAGTATATGCTATTTTTATCAGTAAAACTATTAAGAAAAAAACATGAACATGAATCTAATCAAGCCTCTGGATCTAACTACCATAGGTAGGAAAAGTAAGTATATGCCTGGAATGCTTCCATGAAGAATCAGTCAAGTTTAGAATGTAAAACATTCTATAGGTCAAATGATCCAGTTTCTTAAATGCATCTGTGGCATGAAAAAGGTGGGAGGGGGGACTGCTATGAAATAAGAGGCTTAAGAGAGCAAACTAATACAATGCAGGGGCCTTGTTTGAATGAATATTTGAACAAATCACTCTCATCTTTGAAACAATCAGAAACATTTGATTACGAATTGGGTAAGAAAAAGAAATTCCTGTTACTTTAGTTAGTTGTGATAATGGAATGATGATTCCTAAAACTATATCTTTTCATATGGAAGCAACCTAAGTGTCCATTGATGGATGAATGGATAAGGATGTGGTATATATACAAAATGAGATAATACTCAGCCATAAAAAAAATGAAATCTTGTCATTCAAGACAACATGGTGGATCTAGTGGGTATTATGCTAAGAGAAATAAGTGAGGCAGAAAAAAAANTTTTTACTGAACATTGATCTTTATTCCTGTTCTAAGCGTATGATTTCTTGGCTTTACTTGTCTTCCTTTCTGGCAATTTATATATACCAACTGTTCTTGGAAAAACTTCTTTTTTAAAAAAGAATACTGAACAATTCATCTATCTTTTCACAAACTTTTAGTTTACTGCATTTCATTAAGTTTATAAGGAAATAATTTTTAAAGTTTATGATAGTCAATATCTTTATTCTTATTGTAGATTTTGCACCTGGAGAGATTCAATCCCCAAGTCAAATTTAAATACATTAGACTACACTGTGAATCCTTGTCTTTTCCTAAGACTTTTCAGCTTAACTTACCAAGCAATAAAACAAGTTACATATTTAAATATTTAAAACATGCTATAAACAAGTTATATCATATCAATTTCTGGGCCTACAAAAATCTTGCTTTCTGCTTTCATTTTTCTTCACATTTCCAGATCAACCAGTAAAAAATTTGCCAGTATAAAACAGCTTAACCACCAAAACAACCACTAGAGTTGCACATCTAGCAAGAACCTACTTCTGTAGGGATCAGCATATTTACCTTCAAACAGGTAAATGCAAAGTGAGGCTTGGCTTACTTAGGTGTGTTGGGTGGCTTAGACTGGAGGTAGAGAGCACAGATGAACTGGTACCAGCAGCAAACTAGCAATGAATGAAAATTTGGTATTTTTGGCAAATTGATTGAAGAAAGTGTTTTAATACAACTGAAGATAAGTGTGATCTTTATTTAAAAATCACTGCAAGGCAAGTGGGTGCTGGACAGACCAGGACAAAGATGAGCTTGAGTGCAAATAGGGCCAGCGTGATGGTTAATTTTATGTCAAATTGAATGGCCATGGGTTGCTTAGATTAAATACTATTTCTGGGTATGTCCTGAGGGTGTTTCCAGATAAGGTCAGTATTTGAACTGGTGGAATCAGTAAAGCACATACCCCTTCCTAATGTGGGTGGGCATCATTGAATCCTTTATAGCCTGAGCAGAACAAAAGGCAGAGGAAGAAATTCATCCCTTTTTATCCTGCCTCATTGATTGAGGTGGGACATCTCATCTCATCTTTTCCTGTCCTCAGACTGGGATTTCCAACATTAGCTCCCCTGCTTTTCAGACCTTTGGACTAAAAGACTGAATTACACCACTGGCTTTCCTGAGCCTCCAGCTTACACATGGCATAGTGACACTTCTCAGCTTCCATAACTGCCTAAGCCAATTCCTTATACTAATTCTCCTTTTTGTGTAATGTATAATGTACATCTATATCCTACTGATTCTGCTTTCCTGGGGAACCCCAACTAATACAGCCAGTGGAAGACTTTGCTTTAAGACTCTCCTTGAAATTGAACCTGTCTACACAGGAACAAACTGGTTACCAACATGACTTTTGGCCAGATTGATGGGTGAGACCATGATTGAACTACTTGCTACTTTCAGGTCTCTGCTACTAATTGTGCCACTGAGGAGGAAAACAATGCTGAAATATTTCTCAGGACTCTTCTGCTACTGTGTGCCTACATTTAGCCCAACACTTCTTAAGGAGTTCTTAGGAGTGAAGCCCAGGAAGAATGAGAGTGAAAAAGGCGAAGAGAAATTGCACATAAAGAAATAATTATAAATGAAAAAGAAATTTTAAAATGTTTTATTCCCCTGCATTCAGGACAACTACTTCCTAATTCAAATAGTATAGGTTTCAGACACAAGCATCCTCCTGGTGTGGGCCTTGCTAAGACTAACTTAAAATTTTTAGAAAGCTAATGAGGACAATATATCATACCTTATCCAATGCATACATAGCAAACACAGGCCCATCATGAGCTTTCACTGTCTTTAGTAGTAGAATATCTTTCCAAATAAAAATATCTCCAGTCGCTGCTCCAGAGAACACTAGATCCTCCATTCGCCCGTAAGAAACACACATCATTGTTTCCAATTTTCCAGCACTTCCAAAAATCCCTCTTTTAGATGTGAAGCCCCCACCTGGAGTGGACCAAGAGTATTTATTACTTTTTTTAAAGACTGACATCTTCTAGAAAAGCATTTAGAATGACCATCTTCAATGAAAAACTCAGTGTGTCCAAATTACATAAAGGTGTATAGAAATGGTGCAAAACATGATAAACAAAATGTTATAAGAGGTTTCTCATTCACTAATTCAGTGTTTACTGAATCCCTACTTTGTGTCAGGCATAATGGTCAATGCTTGGGCATAAAGATGAAAGAGTTCCTTCCTTCAAGGAACTTAGGGTCTGTTGGAGAGAGATATGCATTTCAGTCCAATGAAACATGGGTCTAACCAGGTTCAGTGCAAACAGTATACGAGCCAGAGGACGGGATGACTAACTGCCTGAGAAAGCTGGGGGAGTCCTTATGAATGCAGACCAAAAAGAATGAAAATAGCACTGGCTGGAATGTAAAATGTAAACTGTTATATATGTTTTGCCTCAATTTTTATCATAGCAACTTTGAGGTGAGGAAAATGTAGGAGAAGATATATCAGATTTATCTCTTAGTTTTCCTCATTTCTCTGCACTTCCTGACTATCACTGAGAGACCCTGACTAATTCCAGACAGCTCTACACAGGATGGCTCTCCAGACACGTTGGATGCCATTATCTTTTATTTAAAAGTGGGAAGCACTGGAATGGTAGCTTGTTTATGTCTTGACCAGTATAATATTGGGCTGGGTACTAAAGTTGATGCTAAGAATTCAGAAACAATCCCAATAATAGGTCTGGCTCATTAATGGGAATAAGATATCCCTTTATGTTTTGTCATGCTTATTTACTCATCCTTACTATCAATATTATATCTACAGATATTTATTTTGATCACCTGCAGTGTGTAATGTCAGGGTTTAATTCACATGCTAACTTGAGTGATATATTAGTAAAAGAAACTTCAAAATATGGAAAATTGTATTCACCCAACCAAAGTGATTCTTTTATTTCCTGCTCAGTAGTCCAACATAATTGCTGCTTTCAGAACAGATGATTAAATATGAAAACAATTATTTTCACAGAAGAACATTTCCTGAAGCTTTCTAGATACTGATGAATATGCATTGCATCATATAGAGTGTTCTAAGTTTCACAGTTTTGACATTAAGACAGTCCAAAGTGAATTTGGGAAAGAACATCTTAAGGCACATTTTAATTTTAGATTGTAAAGACAGGCTAGGTTGTGATGATGGTTTTCTTCTTTCTTTCTTTTTTTTTTAAGCTGGAGGAAAGCTCTCAAGCACATAAATGATAAACCCAAACAATAGTACCTGCTTGTTGCCAGAATTTGATGTGCTTCATCCCAACTGTAACCAGTTTCTCAGTATGGTGTGGGTTACACTTTACCACAAATATTTTATCTCTATGTCCTCTGTAAGAGAAAAATAGGAAAAAAATTTATAGTTTTGATGGAAGTACTGATATAGACTTTTATTATATACATTTGGTCTTTCATTAAGCACATCTAACAGAACAAATAAATTAAAGGATACTTAAAATACATATGCAGTCTACATTAAAATAATGAGATATGGCTTTTCTCTGAATGTTTGAGCCCTTTCTTCTTGCCCCTACTATTGCCACCAAAGTCTACTTAATTATGCGTTAAACAAATTAATGAAATATTAACATGGATCAGAATGCCTCCATAAGATAAAATTAATGCAATTATTAATTTTAATGAGTAATTCTTGGAATATGGAGTAATTTAATGTGAATGTGAGTAATTCTCGGGATATTGAGGTCTCATACAGGAGGAAGGAGAAAAACATTGCAGTAGTATTAATGAGAAGCTTTAAATGCAGTATTTTTTCTGTGAAAGGCATAACTTTGGGTTAAACAATTTTACACAGAAATGTATTTACTAGAAATTGAAGCCCCTGGTTCACATGCACAGAGAGAGAAAGGGTGTCACCTAATGAGTCTGATGCTGTACATTGAGAAATATAAGTTTATAACCTGAGAGGCAGAAGGATGAATAGTAAAGTGAGGACTGACTGTAGACCTGAAGCTGCAGACCTGGCATTCCATAGTTCCAGGAAAATTTCTGGGAGACTCTATACTTTGGAGTATAGATTAATCACCTTGGAATTAAAAGATTTACTGGTCTTCATGGGCTAGTTGATTGTCTTCTCTAGTATATTAGGACATAACTTTCATTATGTAAAGGAAATGCAATTAAGATAAAGAACATGACTGACCCATCTCCCTTATGAATATAGATTAAAAAAATCTAAAATATTAACAAAGACAATCCAATAACACATTTAAAAAATTATACATTACAACTGAATACAAGAGTGGTTCATTATTAAGGAATCAAATAATCAATTTATCATATTAACATATGTAAGGAGAAAAAATATCATTTTCACAGATGCTAAAAAGGTATTTGACAAAAACATAACACTCATTTATGATTAAAAAAATACTTAATACTCAGCAAAGTAGGAATTAATGGATATTTCAGACTTATCTCTTAGACATTTCTGTTTTCCTGCAGACCTTGACTCTGAGGACCTAGATCAATCAAGCCCAACTATACACATACTGGCTCTCCAGACATTGTATGCCGTTATCTTTTCTATAAAAATGGAAAATTGAACAGTAGCTTATTCATGGTGTGTTTGTGTGTATGTGAACTCAGAAGCCAGGTCCTTACTTAATGCCATTCCTAATAAAGTCAGAAATATGATTCTTGCCAGTACCATTTAACATTGTATTGAACATAGTAACTAATTAAATTTGCTAAGTTTTTAAAAATTAAAGGTACAAGATATGGAATAGAAGAAGTAAAACTATTTCTTTTTGCAGATGACATAATTATACATCTAGACAATTCAAAAGAAAATATTATAAAAACAACTACAAACAAGATAATTTAATAAAGTTGCAGTATATAAAATTAAATACAGAACCAATAATCTTAATTATACAATAACCAGTTGAAAAACATAATGCAAGAAAGAACTCTACTTATAAACAAAAATATTAATCCACATTTTTATCAAGAAATATGTAGTTCATATATATGAATAAACAAACTAGCCAAAAAAAACCCATCTATAACATAGAAAAGTAGACTTGAAAAAATGGAAACATATCCCATATTCTTGGGTTGGAAAACTCAATCATAAAAATGGAAATTCTCCCTAGCTTTGTTAATAAATTCGACTTGATTCCAGTAAAAAAAGATCATTTGGTGTTTGTTTTTTAATCTGGAGTTAGACACCTTGATTTTAAAATTCTTATGGAAAAATAAACTAGCAATAATGACCAGAAAAACTCTGAAAAAGAAAAGCAAAGTAGGAAGAGTAGCTCACCTAGATATTAAAACAATTTATAAAGCTTTCATAATTAAAACAGTGTGGTATTGGTATATAAACTGACTAAAAAACCAATGGCACAATAGAAATTCAGAAAGAGACCCAAATGAGCATTAAAATGTAGTATATAATAAAGATAGGGTCTCAGATTAATGGAGAAGAGAGAAACTTCTAAAAGAAATTGTGTATTTAACCATATGCTGGAGGGCACATGGAGCAACAGGAACTTTCATACAATGCTGGGGAGAATATAAAATGATACAGTCACTTTGGGAAACAGTCTGGCAGTTTCTTACAAAACTAAACATACTTTTGCCATGAAATCCATCAATCACGTTCCTTGGTATTTAGCCAAAGGAATTAGAAACTTATGTCCACACAGCTGTTGATAGCAGCTTTATTCATAATTGCCAAAACTTGGAAGCAACCAAGATGTCTCCTTCAGTAGGTCAACAGATTAAAAAAAACAACTCATGGTACATCTAGACAATGGAATATTATTCAGTAATAAAAATAAAAATGAGCTACAAAGCCATGAAAAGACATGGGGGAATCTTATATGAATATTACTAAGTGAAAGAAACCAATCTGAAAAGGTTACATACTGTATAATTCCAATATGAAATATTCTGCAAAAGGTAAAACTATGGAGACAGTAAAAAGATCAGTGGTTGTCAGAATAGAGGAGATGGAGGGGGGAATAGAAAGAACACAAAAATTTCTAGGTTAGTGAAACTATTCTATATACTATAATGGCAGATACATGACATTTACACATTTGTCAAGACTCATAGAATATACATCAAGCATGAGCCCTAATGTATAAGGACTTTGGGTGATAATGTTATATCAATGTAGCTTTGTGTATTGTAACAAACGTACCGCTCTGGTATGAGCAGGGGATTTGGAGGAGGCTGGGGTACTGGGTATTTGGAAACTCCATATTTTCTGTTTACTGTAACCCTAAAAATTTTTTTAAATCTATTTAAAAGGAAAAAGAAAAATGGTGTTTGGAACACTTTGATGGCCATATGGAAAAAGGATAAAATTGGATCTGCTCCTCATAATAGAGTCTAGGATAAATTTCAAATGATTTAGAAATTTAATTGTAAAGATGAAGCCATAGCAGATAAGAAAAAATTATGAACTTTTAACCTGAGAATGGGGAATACTTTCCTAACTGTCACAAAATCTTGCAGCTATAACAACTGATAAAATTGACAACATAAAAAATTTTGCATGATGAAAAGCACCACAATCTCAAAAGACAAATGACAAACTGAGAATAACATCTGCAAAAATTCAGACAAAAGACAAATGAGCCTAATGTTTAAAGGACTACTTGTTTGAATTATAGAGAAACCAAATAGTTCATGAGGGCTAACTTTTATTTACTTATTATTGAAGAATTATTGATGAATTCTAGCTAATATGGAGAATGAATGATAGAATTAGAAAATTATTTTCAACCCCTAATTAAATGATCAATTTAGCCCACAGTTGTGAATGAATGCTACAACCATAGATAATATATTGATGGTAATAATGGAAGGATCAGGCTGATCCTACTAGAATCCACAATGCAGCTGAGTATTACTAAGAGAAGAACAGTCAGACATTTTGCACAGTGGTGTACATCATGGAGTGTATTAGAGGAACGGTCTGTTTTGGGGGAGAGGAATTCCACCCCTGACATTGTTTAGAATTGCTGGCTTATGGGAATAACAAAAAGAAGACTAGCTTTTAGTCATTTTATTATTCTTTTAAATTTTTTCCACAGATAATACAGCCCAATTGCTTGTACATGTAAAGTACCACTCCTGCTGCCCCTCCCTCTGATATGCCACTGATTATGTTTCTCTGGTGTGATGAAACATGCAGTATGTATCGAGTATTCCTGTCTAAAAAATATTTGCATATCAGATCTTATAAGGGACTTGTATCTATATTTTTAAAAACCTCTTACAACTCAATAATAGAAAGACAACCCTAATAAAAAATGGTCAAATTGTCTGAATAGACATTTCTGCAAAGAAGATATACAAATGGCCAATAATCACATGAAATAATGCTCATCATCATTAGCTAACAGAGAAGTGAAAATCAAAACCATAGCTAGATCCCACTTCAGACCAACTAGCATGGCTATATTGAAAATGAGAGGCAATAATAAGTGTTGACAAGTATGTAGAGAAATTGGAATCTTCATTCATTGCTGGTACAAACATAAAATGGTGCAGCCACTTTGAAAAATATTTTGGCAGTGGCTCAAAATGTTAAACATAAAGTTCCCAAATAGCCTAGCAATTCTACTTCTACATATCTACGCAAGAGAAATCAAACATATGTCTAATTAAAACCATGTATGTGAATATTCATAGCAACATTATTCATAAGAGACAAAAGGTAGAAACACCTAAGTATCCCTCAATTGATGAATGGTTAAATAAAATGTGGTAAATGCACACAATGAAATATTATTCAACATTAAAAAGGAATAAAGTACTGATACATGTTATGACATAGATGAACCTTAAAACATTATGCTATATGAAAGAAGCCACTCATAGAGTCTGATTCTGTTTATATGAAATGTCCACAATCTAAAAATCCACAGAGATGGAAAATAGATCAGTGCTAATGGGCATGGGGTTCTTTATGGGATGGTGAAAGTATTCTGAAGTTAGATAGTGGTGGTGATTGCACAACTCTGTAAATATGCTAAAAATCATTGAGCTGCATACTTTAAATAGGTGAATTGTATAGTATATGCTATTTTTATCAGTAAAACTATTAAGAAAAAAACATGAACATGAATCTAATCAAGCCTCTGGATCTAACTACCATAGGTAGGAAAAGTAAGTATATGCCTGGAATGCTTCCATGAAGAATCAGTCAAGTTTAGAATGTAAAACATTCTATAGGTCAAATGATCCAGTTTCTTAAATGCATCTGTGGCATGAAAAAGGTGGGAGGGGGGACTGCTATGAAATAAGAGGCTTAAGAGAGCAAACTAATACAATGCAGGGGCCTTGTTTGAATGAATATTTGAACAAATCACTCTCATCTTTGAAACAATCAGAAACATTTGATTACGAATTGGGTAAGAAAAAGAAATTCCTGTTACTTTAGTTAGTTGTGATAATGGAATGATGATTCCTAAAACTATATCTTTTCATATGGAAGCAACCTAAGTGTCCATTGATGGATGAATGGATAAGGATGTGGTATATATACAAAATGAGATAATACTCAGCCATAAAAAAAATGAAATCTTGTCATTCAAGACAACATGGTGGATCTAGTGGGTATTATGCTAAGAGAAATAAGTGAGGCAGAAAAAAAATAGTGTATAATGTCATTTATATGTACAATTTAGAAAAACAAAACAAACCAGAAGCAGATTCACACAGAGAATAAACTGGTGGCGACCAGAAGGGAGGGGAGTGAGGTGATGGGCAAAACAGGTGATGGGGATTAAGAGATACAAACTTCCACTTATAAATAAAAAAGTTACAGGGATGTGAAGTACAGCATAGGTAATACAATCAATAATATGATAATAACTTTGTATGGTGCCAGATACTAACTACACTTACTGTGGTGAGCATTTTATAATGTATATAAATGTTGAATCACTATGTTGCACATATGAAATGAATATAACATGGTATGGCAACTGTACTTAAATAAATAAAAATATATTTTCAGTGAGAAATACATAAGTTGTATACAGGTTAAATGACATAGTATCTTGAGTTTTCTTTAAAATGTCTAGCAAAAAAGAAAGTAAAAGAAAAATGAGGAGGGGATCTTTGTACCATTTGTAGGATGTTGCAGCCAGATGAGGGGTACAAGAGAGTTCATTATACTATGTCCTTCATTTATGTCTAGCTTTGAAATTTTTCATAATAAAAAATTAAAAGAAAAGTAAGGACCAGAACCGGAGCATCTCAATGCCTGTGATGTGGATCCTATAGTGAGAGGCAGAAAAGAAGAACTGATTTTTGAACATTCTTTCGTTGTTTCTTTAAAAGTCAAAGGTGAAGTGTAGACATTAGGGCCAAGATACATCAGTGGATGAATCAGGGATAATCAGGACAGAGAGAAAAAGATAAGAGAAAATGTGCTTAACACAGAGGAGAAATGAACAAGATAAGCATGAAAAACATTAAATATTTAGAGATTTCTTGATTGGAGGAAAATCTCTCTACAGATTCTAAATCATTAATACAAACTTCAGAGACTAGACACTAGAGAAAACCGAAATAAACATTGAGAACGGATATAGCAAATTAGATTTCCTGGATGAAAAAGAGCATCATTTTGTTTGCTTGTGTCTATACAATGCCAAACACTTGGCTAGTTGGACAAATGTTCTTTGAGGGAGCACTTTTCAGATTTAATCTAATTTCTTGATTTCATAAAAGCAGCAATGTTGTTTCTGTTGTGGCTAAAGTTGTAAACTGAGTGATGATGGCATATAAATGCTAAGTTCATGTCAACATCTAAATAAAGAACATTCCATGGATACCTCCGTTATCTTTTCTTTGGATACCTGTTAAATTTGTAGGTAACTGTGTGGGTCAGAAAAACAAAATGGAAAGTTTCAGGTCCTAAATTGTGAGAGTAACTAGAAGACTGTATTGCTGCCCTAAAGCAGGATGATCGCTCATGCCTGAGTCATAAGTAAGTCACCACACAGGGCCACATTTTAAACTCTTATCAGCAAGCACTGGGAAAAGGGGAAGGAATGTGCTTTTTCTAGAAGCTAAGGGCAGCTGCACAGCAGGTGACTTAGTTTCTAAATCTTCATTCAGAAACCTTCTGTCTGCACAGAGGCCCAGTCCCATGTGTGATCTGGTTTTCCCTTTTCTGTGTGAAGGTAGTCCCTAGAAGGAAGTATGAAGGAATGTTTGATTTATTCTCCATTTCCAAAAAGATTTAAAATGGTTTATAATACAGAATAATAATAATGAATAAGCCAGGTAACATTAATAAGAAGAAAATGAGATGACATACTGGTGAGTGAACAACAACAAAAAAAGCCAGCTATGGTGTAGCATGGAACAACGTCCTATAAATGAAGAAGAATGGGTAAAAAATACTAGAATAATATGTACTAAAGAACATATGCTAAAATGTTGGTTGGATAGTGGAATTATGAATTCATTTTCATTTTCTTCTTAATGCTTTTCTGTGCTAACCTCTATAGTGGTCATGTATTCAAGAACAGAGAAAAGATTAATAAATGTTACTTTTTTTTAAAAAAGATGCATTTTAAAAAAGGAAGGTGAGATAGGAAAGTGCCAGTTTGGTAAGCAGGAGACTTAATATATGTAAGGGTAGGGAACTGAAATAGATCAAACAATGAAGCTAATACAGAAATGCATACTCTGAGGTTCTACACCTGCTCTACAAGGGCCTATGTTTTGCCCCGTGATGTGAAATAGCATAACTATTTCACATTAGCATTGGACATATTCTTGCTAGGCACCTTGACAACCCTACCTTTTGCCTAGGATCCCTACTACATAAACTTCTGAGATGAAGCATGAGCTGATTAGTCACTGTCCCCCATAGTCACGTTACCCGAGTGATGGAAATCCAAATAAAGGGGCATAGAAGCACCTGATTAATTATCTCATCACTGTGCCCTGATTGATACTGATATTAGACTGCTCAACTACTTCCCGCAAGAGGCTGGTCTTAGTTATTCAACGGATTAGTTGTATCAGCAAGCACTGGGAAAAATCTGAACAAACTTTAAAAGGAAAAATATCCTAGACTTTCATTTGTCATAGAAGTGACTGAAATCATCCTTGAAAACTAGCAAAGATGGAAGAAATTGTTCAAACAGACTGGATCAAGTCTCAAGGATCTGTAATAAGATCTCTATGTGCCAGTTCTGAATTTCTCTAATTTCTCTGGGGTGATTCCAAAGAAAAAGCAGGTGCATTTTAATGTCAAAGCTGAGGGTGGCTTTTGAGGCTGCAGTACTGTAAGGCTACTGACTATACCCCTCTCGCCACCACGGGCAGCAACACCCCGGAGGGTTTTGGGGGTGGGCATTCTGGTCAACCGTCTCCCGCCAGAACAATGCAGACGGTTCTTCCTAAGCCTCGCTGGTGACAATGCTAGCAGTCACTGAGACGGAAGTGCAGAGTGAGGGGTGTCACGGGGTCAGCCTTTCTCTGAGACGAAATTAGGCTCTCTGGAGCTACAAAGACTCCTGGAAGCCAATCAGGTGCCATCAGTACAGGGTTACTTCTTTTTCTTTGTCACTGCTTTCATGCCCCTATTTTTAATGTTTCTATCTACCTAAGCACCCTAACTTAAAGGCCATAAACAGAATTTTTATTTGTTTGGTTACTTACTTATGTGAATAGGTATTTATGTAAATAATTATTTATTATTTTTAAATCTAGGATTCTTCCAAAGAACTGTAACAGTTCTTGACATTCCTTCTTGGAAAAAACACAGGGTAATGTTACAATTGCAAAAAATTTTTCTGAGGGCAATTCCCCAGGTGTCCTGTATTGAGAACGTGACATAAGGCTTGGGAACAATTCCAAGAATCAGTTGTGTTATTAATATAATGGTGTTAACTCATTTTGAGTTAAACAGAAGTAACACTACCAAGCTTATCAAATACATACTTTTTAATATTAATGGATATTTCTTTCTTCCATTTCTATTAATGTTTCTGGCATACCACAGGTGAGCTGCCCAGAGTTGCAGAGGGTTTTCTAACAAGAAAATGCATGTCTGTTTTTGCTTTTGGAATGCAGACATATGCGTTACCTGCAATATTTCCAATACAGGTGTTATGTTACCAGAAATATTAAACTAAGATGCAGTGTATTGGTCTAGGAAGAAAGCAGAGGTCTGATAGGAGCTGATTCTGAGTACTAGCAGGAATTGATACAACAGTGAGGAATACTAGAGAGACTACTCCCCCCCAAAAAAACACTTGGTAGGCAGATTTATGAGCTGGCATTGGCTGCCAAGAATTGCATCTCAATAGCAGTTCTCAGAAAAGCTCCTTTTTCTCTCCTAAGACAGTCACCTAGAGTCATCAGGACCCCATCTGCTCCTCCTCTGAGTCTCCAGCAATTTATAGATCTTCAGTCATTAACTCAAATTGCCAAAAAACTTTTTTTTCATATTTAATATTGTGGCAGGAAATACTAATTTTAAAATGAGTACTGAAGGTTTAAAGTCATTAACTTAAAAATGATTTTATATTGCAAGATAGAAAGGAAGGTGGTTAATACAGGGAAGAACTAGTAAAGAAGTAAAACCATAACATGCCTTGGGCAACAAATTATATTGCTAGGTCCTGGCTGCCAATTATTTTGACCTCTGATCATGGCTGGGCAAACAGCTAAGACCAATGTAAGTAGGAGTAGAAAGTAATGTTCAGACTTAAGGCTGATTCGACCGGGAGGGAGGCTGGGGTAAGGGAGGACAGGTGGTCTATAAACAGCAGTCAGTCTTGAAAAGTCTATTTATAAGACAGGGAGATTAAGGAAACAATTTGCCTTCTTTGAGAGCGAGTGGCAGATGCACACGGTGGGGCGCCCTTTCCAGCATGCCACAGCCGCATGACAAACGGTGGTTCTGACTCCAGTGACATTGACAGTCCTTCACCAGATGCTTAGGCAGTGCAAAAGCAAGAGGCAAGGCACAAGCCTGAGAAAAGCTGCTTTTCTACTGCTGGTAAAAAGCTTTCATACAGATAATGCATATATTACTAAAAGCAAAGTGATGAATACCTCTCTGGAAAGGATTTCAGAATTTTCCAGTTCCCCAAAACAAACATTAACTGCTCTGCCAGCTCTGTCACCCTGAAATATTGCAATGTATTTTTACCTTAACATAGAATGGTATTAAGCTTTCTATGTGAATTTCATCTCAGCTTGAAGATGAAATCTTACCCGAAAATGAAAACTATTGACCTTTACTGAAGTGTGATAATCAGCAGGATACCGTAAGACCTTGGCAGCTTCTTACCTTGCTGTTGCTATCTTTTCTCCCTTTTTCCAGTCCCAAAACACAATGCTGTGACAATCTTCTAAACCAACTGACACCAGACATTTTCCATCAGCTGTATGAAAACAACAAAAATGTCAAATGACTCATTTCTTTGATGAAACTCCAAACATTTTATATGCAGTAAAGAGGAATAAGAAATTGATGTTATGGATATTACTTAGGCTCAAAACATTATACGTATTATATACTAAAGGGACTTTACTGGATGAATACAAAACTAGTGATAGTTAAGCTTCCTAATGCATAGTAACTGGCTGCTGAATTTAATCACTGAACCGCATTCCAATCTGAGACACAGAGCTAGTACGGAGTCTCTCAGGTAAGTCATGAAAACCTTGCCTATTTTGTGACAGACAAATCTCATGACACTTACTGGAAGAGCCATTTTGCTTTGTGACTCTATTTTCAGCTCTAAAAAACTCAGTTCTGCTAAACCCTCCATGATAAGAGCATTACAGAAACTAACATATCTTTAAAAGTCCTTTCAAAAGATTTATAATTAAAATTTTTTATTTGCTTAGTTTTACTATTTCAAATGTAGTCCTCTGTAGTCAGAGAAGATATCCTGATTGTTATAGGACATTTACAAAATGTGAGTAAAGGGAATTTTTAAATCTTCCAAATTTCTAGGCCTACATTTGATGTATATCCTGTCAATTGTTTCTCTATATAAATCTTCTTTTGAAAAACAAAGTCAGGGTGACAATGAACATACTATTATCTAATCTTTCCTCATTACTTATATGCAGAACATTCTCTCTTAGTATTAAATATTGTCTGTAATATTATCAATGATTACTATAATGTGGACATTTAGGTTGTTTACCCAAAATAATTTCAAAAATAAAATTTGAAGTCTAAATAGCTAATTTACTTTTTCCCTTCAAGACAGAAGAGGTACTGTCAATAAGCCTTTCCTTTGCTGCCTCCTCCCAAAGCTGGGGTCACAGGAGGAATGTCTTGGGTCAGCAGTTCAGCCCTGGCTTCGTGCTGGCTGCAGACAGGCAACCAGTCTCACTGTGCATCCATTTAGTAGGGTATCTTCATTTACAGTACTGGGGGAGAGACACACAAGTATGTGATAAACTGCTGTTTCTCCCTAGTCCAGACAGGGTCTCAACTGATATTTTCAAAGACAGGCTTGGGGAGGGTTGCCAGGAAAACTAAAGGAAGCCTAACTTGGAATTTCAGATAAGCAATGAATGATTTCTTAGTGTATGTCCCATGCAATATTTATATTTATTTACATTGCACATTTAAACTTATATTGCATGAGATATACTTGTATTAAAAAATAATCTGAAATTCAAATTTAACTGGGCTTCCTTTATTTTTATTTGCTAAATCTGACAACCCACCCCAATGTCCAATCTTTGAGTGCCTTTACTTGTGCCAGAGACCCTTCCCCAACAAGTTGGGGACAGTGGTCTGCTCCTTTTCTGGAGGAAGAAGGAGAGAAGCAAACAGAAGAGCCTGGCTTAACAAACCGAATTCTCCCCAGTCCTCCACTACTACTAAGTCTGAGGAAGGCTGTGAAAGCTACAGTAACCCTTTCAGCTACTAGGTTAGAGTGACTATGAAGACATGACACTTTCCTAAAGGGCGGAACCACCACCAGGTGACTACCATAAATAAATTTGTCCTCTGAATCACAATTAATGACACGTTCTCATGCTTTAATGTTACCAAGCTTTAAATTGTGCAAGACATCTTTTTATGCATTTGGGAGAAGAGACTAATAATGACTTCCTATTCATTATGAACAATATTGCTTTTTTGTATCTTTTGGTATCGCCTGGTTATGTTTCTATATTAGCATGCCTCTGTGCTTGGTGATTTTATTTTTATTGGAGTATTCTCTTTTTAGATTATAACCTCTTTTAAGGCTTATAGTAATCATATCACATTTCCTTCATGATCCTTACAGAGCTGGTTTTCAGTGAGTGCTGATGGTACTCGTGACACTGACACAGAAAAGGAACATAGAGATGGAATATACCTATGGATGGTGTTAATAGAAAGACACTCTGCTATGTTATATAGCTATAAAAATTCTAATTATTTTAATTATTATTCCTTTCAAAAAGACTATACTTATTGTATCTTTTCTGCATTCATTAAATCCATATTTAATATTTTCTTTTGTAACCTGTGTAGCTATAGTAATATGTCCTCCTTAGAACGCAAGCATCCACACACTTAAAATGGAAATTTTTTGAAGAAGGTCTTTAAATGAGATTTGACAAAGGCCTTGGGGTAAGTTGATTTTGGCTTCTTTTTATAGAATTTCTGCAAGGCCCAATCAACATTTCTAAACAGTAATACCACCTTTCTACCCCAATTCATGACTATGAATAGCAATGAAGAAACAGTACAAAGCCAGAGGTGCCTCAGCAACCATACTTCTTTAGGATGCTGACTTTTCGTGAAGTCTGCAGGTATAGACTATTTCTGCATACCACACAGCTTGGAAATATAACTGGCTGCCTTCTCATTTTGTTCCCAGTTTTCACTTCCCCCCATAGAGCCTGACCTTAGTTCTGAAAATCCATTGTTCCTTGACCAGTTAGTTGGAGTTTTTGATTATCAGTCATATTTTTAGAGTCTAAGTAACGTCCTTTCAAATCTTTCCAATCACAGCATGTATTAATTATGGATATGGTGTGACATAGTCCAGAAATAATTCTAAGGCACTTAATGTCAACACCAAAGGGCAAATCAGAATGAGAAAAATTTTTACTCAATTACAAGTTGGTGCCTGCATTCAGGGCTCATAAAAAATGCATAAGTTTTCAGAATTGAATACAATGAAATCAAATTAGCCTTAAAGGTACCCTTGTGGAAATCAGTATTATTCAATAAAGGTTTTAAAAAATATGAGGATGATATTTAGACTAGAAAATATTTATGTGGCTGAAACTTTCTCCTTCTAATCAGGTTTTCTATTCACATGGCAGTACTTTACTTACTGAAAGCACAAAATCCCTAGACAGTGAGGATAAATTCACAGTTAAAGATTTGCTCGATTAAGTGAAATATTATAAATTCTTTCCCTTCCTGTATACATAATTTGGAATTATGGATTATGTTGTAAAAAATGTTTTTGACTAAAAATGTCTTCATTCTGTTTGCTTTGGGACAGTGACAAAAATAATTAATTTAAATCCCTTTGTATACTGCTTACTTGTTGTATAGTTTCCATCATTTGACTGCTTTGTATTTCCATGACAATTTCTTTCTCTAATAAGAGACAAATATACTACCAGTAGGTCCTCACAACACCCCAAAAATGAGCTGTCTTGTAAGAGATAAGTGGACATGAGGGTACTGAGGCACCCAGACGGGGCCACCAGCTAGATAACCAATGTTGGTGGGCTGTTTAGATGGTTAAACAGGGAAATCTAAATAATCCCCTCTCTTGGCATTATGACCATCAGTTTGGCACTTTTCTGTCACTTTACAAAAGGAAAGAATGGTTACTCCTGCTCCTATTTGTATAGGTGTGTGTTCAGGGCTGTTCTAGGACAGGGGTCTCCTTTCATGGGGCGGGACTGTGGCACGTGCCCGTCTCTGTGCACCACCACACCCACTCCACATTTATCCTGGAGAGTGGGGACGTGGCAGCTGGAGACATGTGCTGTTAGGTAGAGGGAGTGAGGACATAAGTGCGCATGCTGAGTGTTCCAGGTAGGACTCTTGGGCTAGAAGTTCTCACTGGCCCTGGTTGGGGGCAGGGAGAGGAGAAGGTAAGAGGGCCAAGGAGGGAGAACGCACAGCACAGCTCCTGCCAGCTCACAGCCCAGGCTTGGCAGCTTTCTCACTGGACTGAAATCTAGGAGACTTAGGGTCTAGCTCTCAGTCTGCCACTGTTTGGCTTTTACCCCTCCCATATACTACCAAACTCTCTGATCTCCATTCTTGGCCTATGAAGTGGTACAGGGCTTTATTTAAGACTAGTTAGGACTTCTGGGAGATGATGGCCACATAGCAAGAGCTTGAACCTACCTCCTCTCAACTTCACACCAAATCTTTACCTATACACAGAGCACTTCATTTTGAGGAAGAACAGGACTGCAGTTGCACCTTCTGCACAAGGAGGGATAAAAAGACCACATAAAAAACAGCTGGAGAGATGGAGATGTGATAACAGAGGGAATCCCACCCCAGTGCAATGACCTGCAGAAGGAGGGATATTGCTGAGGGATCTGGACAGATTCCCTTCCCTGGGGCATAGAAAAAAAGCCATGTTTTAAAGTACATTTAGACTATAAATGAAAAAAACCTGATTTATAGAACCAAAGCACCCACCATTTGTCAAGGAATGGCTGGAACTCTCTCCAGATCACTGACCTGACAAGCGTCATTTTTTGCACTCCTTCCCCACATTTATAGTGACTCAGAGGAGCAGGGGTGGGGAACATACACCAATTTTGGATTTGGCCTATGCAGCTTCCCAGCCCCCACCCACACCCAGATGCATTAGCTGGAGAGCACATCCAGGCTATAGCTGCCCTGGGACACAGAGCCAGTGGGTGCCAACCCCTGGAGAGGATACGCTGGCCACTGCTGCACTGCAGCCTCCAACGCAGTAGCTGCAGAGGTGGGGCTGCCCTGGAGCCAGTTCTCACTGTGCTCCCAGCCAATGCTGCACCAGGGACTCGCACTCCATCCAGCAGCAGGGACAGGCCTTCCCTATGTACTGCACCTTGGCCTGGGATGGAACCACCAGTGTGGAGCTGGCTGCTACCCACCCCTGGAGAGCACCTGGACTGCTGCTGCACTGGGCCTCTAGCTGCAGAGGTGGAGCTTTTCTGGGGGCTGTACCAGGCTGGGGCCTGTGCCACAGGTATAGAACTGGTTATTCACTCATCCCTGGAGAGTACTCTAAGCTGCTCGTGCACTGAGGGCATGGAGCTGGTAGTTGCAGAAGCAGGGCTTTCCTAGAGACTATGCCTAGGCCCACTGCCTCCCCACCTGCCCCATTGGTATCTACTCAGGAGCCTCTCTAATTGGGTCCCTCTGCCATGCACCCCCTTCCAACCTCACCCTGAG